TGTTAGCGAGAAGGAAGCGGAGGTGCTGCAGCTGAAAGTAAAGAAGCTGAGGAGGTAGACAGTCTACAACTTTTCCTCTCTCGCATAAAGGGCATCTTAAAGAAGCCCCTGAAGATAAAGGTCCTGGAGGTAAAAATTCATAGCGGCTGCTGCACTCGCTGCAGCTGCACATACACCCCAATGCATGCAGCAAAGTAAACAATATACAACCGTCAATATGTTTAAACAGATGTAAAGGGAAGAAAATAACTCAAAAGATATAACAACAAACAAAATGAATATACAAAAAACATATAAACAACAGCAGAAGCAACTGCAGCAGCAGCACTTGCTGCACTTGCAACATCACCGACACAAAAAGCAGCACTACCCGCAGCTGTAGCAGCGGCACACGCAGCAGCAGCAGGGGAAGCAGCAGCAGCAGGAGTAGGAGAAGCAGCAGCAGCAGCAGCAACAGCAGAAGCAGCAGCAGCAGCAGCAGCAGAAGCAGCAGAAGCAGCAGCAGAAGCAGCAGCTGGTTATTACCGGAATGTGTGTATATGAAATGTGTTTAAAAGAAAAGACAAATAAAGGCGCAGCACTCCCCGCAATGCAGATGGAGACAGCCAGCTGCTGCAGCCGCTGCACTTGGACGTCTGCAGCAGCAGCAACAGCAGCAGCAAGAGCAGCAGCAGCAAGAGTGCATGCAGATAGCCACTGATACACGAAGAAAACAGAGCCGTAGAGACACTGGAAGGACAAGGAGAGTAAAGACCCAGCAGCAAACGATGCAGCTGCAACAGCGGCAGCAGCAACGGCAAACCGAACAGCAGCAGCAGCAGCAGCAGCAACAGCAGCAGCAACAGCAGCACAAGGAGATCTCTCACCATGAGGCCCTCTGCTGCAGGCGTCCAAGCGCCGCACAAGCCACAGGGAACTTGAGCCGGGATGTTGCACTGTACACACAGCAGCAGCAGCAGCAGCAGCAGATGCAGCAGCAGATGCAGCAGCAGATGCAGCAGCAGATGCAGCAATGCTTATAAGTTCTGGCTGCTGAAGGGTTTAGGTATAGGGTTTGTTGTTTATTATTTATTACAAATTTTGTTATATATTTTTTTAGTTTATTATTAATTTATTAATATTTGCTGCATTTTATTTACTCTCTGGGGCTTTTTATTATTTATAAATTGTTTATTATTATTTATTATTTTAATTTATTATTATTACATTATATTATATTAATTATACTAATTATATTATATTAATTATATTATATTTATTATATTATATTTATATTGTATTATATTATCTTATCTTTATTATATTATATTATGTTATATTATATTATACTAATTATATTATATAGTATTATAATATATTATATTATATTAATTATATTATGTAATATTATAATATATTATATTATATTATAATATTATATTATATTATATAACTCACGCTTTTAAATGCATCTGCTTTTTTGTGTATGAGTGCGAGTATTTTGTCTTCTCCTTGAGTTGAGGTAGTAAGGGTGTCTCCGTCTTCATCGTCTGCATTTGCATGCATATCTTTTAAGAGATTAATTTGCTGCTGCTGCAGCCCCAAACAGTCAGCTAATCGAGCAGCAGAAACACCCTGAATAAAACAGCAAAGCCTCTGAATAGGCGGGAACAGCTGCTGCTGCAGATAATATTTTATATCAGGTTTAAGATTTAAAGCTTTAACTTCACTAGGGTGATATGCTCTTTCTGCTGCACTCCGCACCCGCTGCTGCTGCTGCTGCTGTTGCTGCTGCTGCTGCTGTTGCTGCTGCTGTTGCTGCTGTTTTGCTTCTGCTTTTTGAATGCTTTCTTCATCACAGATAATATATGATATCTCGTTGCCTGCCTGCACCGCCCTTCCAGCAGCAAGAAGGCGCAGCGCAACAAGAACATGCGGCTGCATGCATGCAGCAGCAGCAGCAGCAGGAGTAGCAGCACTACGTGCATACAGCTGAGGAGGCTTCGTCAACGCCTTTGTAATAACAAATAGATCTAGAGGCACTCGGCCTTCTTCTAAGGCAGCTCTCATTGCTTGCAATCTTTCGTGAATAAGAGACACAACTTTATCTACTGCATCTTCTTCTTCTGCTGCTGCTGCTCCTGCTGCTGCTGCTGCTGTATCCCCAGCCCCCGTCCCTTGCTGCTGCTGCTGCTGCTGCTGCTGCTGTTGCTGCTGCATATTAACTCCGAAGATAATTTTAAGCAGCTGCTCACCTGCTTGTTTGGTTAGCAGCGCCCAGTCTCTTCTAACAAAATCTAAACCCTTTTGCTGCAGCAGATATTCTTTTTTATGATAGTCTTGAATAATACAGCACGCATATTTTTTTTTGCGCAGCAGCAGCAAACGCCTAAACACTGCTTCTAGATCTAATTCAAGATGTTTATACTGTCTGTTCACCTCCGCTTTGATGCGACTTCCTAACAATAAACTCTCGCGATAATTCTCACCACGCCCGTCGTCACGCAAACCCGTATCCACCTGCAACAAAACCCTAAACCCTAAACCCTAAACCCTTAACCCTTAACAATAAACAATAAACATTAAATACTAGACGATAGACACTAAATAATAAAGAGTAAACAATAAACAATATATATCATTATTGTGATATTATTATTATTATTATTATTATTATTATTATTATTATTATTATTATTATATTATTATTATCATATTAACTCACCATAAGAGAGTCAGTGTCTCCGTACAGCACAGTTAAACCTACTATTACTATTATGATAT